AAACCCAGTGGATTGCCGTGTCTCTGCCAAAAGAGGGATGTATCAGCAATCCCATCTGTCATGCATTAGCTGCTGTCTGAAAAAGATGGTCTTTCTCACAGGTTGCTGAATGGGGCATCCAAAAGCTGGGACTTCCTATGTACGCAGACCACCTGGCTGGTACCTACAGCGGTGGCAACAAGCGCAAGCTCTCCACTGCCATTGCACTGATAGGCTGCCCACCACTCGTCTTGCTAGTAAGTGTCATGGAAGCATAGCTCTGTGATAGCTCAATATAATGTCTCATAAAACTACATGCTAAAGAGGAACAAAGGTGTTTACAACAGTCCCTGCAAGCTCCTTGCTGCCCTCAACTTATATCTGCTTCAGTGTAGTTCTGAGTTCTTCGATTTCAGGAGTAGACTGGGATGCATAGCTAGGTTTCCAACAGACCCCAAGCAATTATGAAAGAATATACCACTTTAGACTAAACTATACAAATGCTGAGATGTAGTTCTTATCAGATAACATAAGTTAACAGATAACTGCTTATCTAAAGGGAAATTCTAGATGCATTTACTACAAAAATTCTTTATTTACCTTATACTGTACCACCTTAATTTGTAGGTTAAACAGAAACATTTTAATAACAATATCATAGTTCCTTGTGCCCTAGGCTGGGGACTGCCTTTGTTGTCAAGGCCACTGCATTCTTACCTGTAGCTGTACCATACACAGAGAGCGTTATATTCTTACCTGCAGCTTCTTATGCTTGTTTCCTTAATGCTTTTATGCCAAGTACGTTAGTACCCATTCATTCATGTGCTTCTGAAGGTGCCTGTGCTTTATTAAGGCACAGATTTCAGTCAGGAAGCAGCTATATGCTAAGGCCCAAACACACAATGACTTGATTCTAAATAGATTTTCTTTTTCTTATCTGTTTCTCTTATTCTGATTGTCTTATCATTTCCCTTACAGGATGAACCAACTACTGGAATGGACCCTCAGTCCCGGCGTCTCCTGTGGGACTCTATTGTCAGCGTGCTCAGAGACGGGCGAGCTGTGGTTCTAACCTCACACAGGTAAAAGGTTAGAATTCAGAATCCTAGAGTAGCTGAAGTTCATCTGCTGGCTTTTATCTCAAATATCTGTTCTCTATTTTGAAAGTATGGAAGAATGTGAAGCCCTCTGTACTCGTTTAGCCATCATGGTAAAAGGTACCTTCAAATGCCTGGGCACAATTCAGCAACTAAAATATAAGTAAGTAGAATATTTTTATGGTGTTTTTAAATGGGAAAACTTAGTGTATGTGACATGTACGATTCTTAATAGAGTAATCCAATCTGAAGAGCTGTTGTTTGGACAGACCCATTTCTGGGTGCAACTCTGTGGTATGCTAGATAATTTGAGCATGTCTCATTGCAACTCATGCTACACACCACCTCTGCTGGGCAAATATGGTGCTTCCTACAAAGCTAGATCTTATCCATTATCTTTCAGATACTGATAGTATTGTCATAGCTGCAGAAAATGGATTTCCTTCCTCAATAATGAACCCATGTCTTCATCCAATTCCCAAATCCACATGTGCTTCCCAGGTTTGGAGATGGCTACATTGTCACCCTGAAAATCAAAGCTCCAAAGTCTGGGTTACCTCCAGATCCTACACCTGCTGAGCAATTCATACGCATGAACTTTCCAGGGAGTTTGCAGAGGGAGAAGCACTACAACATGCTGCAGTATCAGATTTGCTCCTCCTCTCTGGCTAAGATTTTTCGGTTAATAATCTCCAATAAGGAAAACTTGCATATTGAAGAATATTCTGTGTCTCAAACAACTTTAGATCAGGTAAGTAAAAAATAAAGCACCCATGAGAAAGCCTGTCTGGCAAGAATTAGGCAGTGCAATAGGGATGTATCCAAACAACTGAAGACAATACTGTTCAGAGTAGAAAATTACCTTGCACCTCTCTCTCAGGCAAAATTCCCAGACTCCTCATCAAGGAGGGTGGATCAGATATGAAATCTGAAATTAAATTCATTGTGTAAATAGGTGCCATTTGAAAGCTGGTAAGACACCTTCTCCCAGATGACAGAATTCATACAACCCATCCCTTCAGGAGCAGCAGTCTGAGCAAGATCAGCTATTTAAAATAAGGCTTGCTGAGCTGAGAATAACATTTTAGTTTAAATAAGAGATTTTGACTGTGTTTTGTCAGAGATACTGTGATATCTAATTAAATGTTTATATGTCACTGTCATGCACTTTTATACAGGAAATTAGACATGCAAAATCTGAAAAGTCCACTGGGACTGTTGGCAATACCCACTTGCTAGAGCATAGTAGCCCCACCTGCCTGCTTTCTTAAGTAGCTGAGGGTCCACATAGGCAAAGCTGTCTGATGGGAATGCTAGAGACGTTCCTGGCTGCCTTACAGCTTCCTCTAAAATGTTCTATCTCCTCTTTCCCATCACAATCAAATTCACATTGTGCAAGCCTTGCTGAACACATCTCCTGCTTAAGAAAAAAGAGGATTTTAGTTCCAAGTAAGTGCATCCAAAGGAAGGAAGTTGCAAGGAAGTTTATCAAAATAAAGAAGGAATTAATGATCCCTGCTGATACGCAGTGTCTCAGTTCAGTTCATGTCTATGGATTCCACTTTCTGTCTCTTCCCTGCAGAGAGGCCAAGAAGATGGAAATTCAACTAACGCATCTCACCTGATGAGATGGTGACATTTTCTGCTTTCCTCACACAGGTTTTTGTGAACTTTGCTAAACAGCAGATGGAAGATGAAGAAATTCCTTTGCATCCTCGGGCAGCTGGAGCCAGCCGAGAAGCAAAGGTGGCCCCTGCTTTGCATCAGCAGGCAGTTGCATAAGCTGTTCTACAGTCGCTAGCACGTAGAGTGTGCACAATGCAAAGACGTGCCATACCAGAGCATTACACGGGTAAAACAAAGGTTCCCACACTCGGTATTCTACTGATTTTCCTGCACCTTTCTGAGCACTGTGCTCACAACCGCAACAGTCCTACCGACAGCCAACTTCTACTGCTCTACAGGAACACTACATGCTGGAAGTGTCGAAGGAAAGGCAGGTCCTTGCTATAGGAAAAAAATCTTTTAACGTAAAGTTCATTGTGAGATACAAGAAGAGAAGTCTCATTCCTCCTTGTTGACATGTTAAGAGCATTAAGGATAGTTTCTCTATGTGGTCCTTTCAGGCTGGTAGGTTCTTCTTGTTTAACTCTTAAGTCAACAGACAGGTCCCAAGGCAGTGAGCGTTGCCCAGCTTAGGAAGTGGGTTTCTGCCATCCTTAGTACACAGGGCTACCAAGGTCAGAACATCAGTGCTGGCTTACGGGGCTAGTGGTGGGAAACTGCTTCACTGTCTCATCAGGCTGCCAGTGAAATCAGATTGTTGTCTCAGCAAGAAGGGGAAGAATTAAATCAGATCTCAGATCCGGACAAGAAATTTAAATTAAAAGCAAAAATAAATCTTAATAAAAATGATCTCTACTTATCTTCAATTTTCTCGAAGAAGAACTTCAAAATAGATATTAAAAGGAAAGAGACTGTCCAAATCTGCCAAAAGTTTTGTTTTCTCCTGGAGGCCTGGAAAGATTATCTTTGTTACTCAACAAGATCATATTTTTCTTCTTTTCTGTGACTGGACCTTAAGTGGGTGTGAAGTGCAAATGGGGTGTATGCTTCCTCTGTGCTCAGAAGGAAAATTTCAGCCTGCTTGTACTCCACACTGCACTCAGTGGGAAATCATTTGACATTTAGATCTTTTCTTTGGTTCACAAAAAATAATAATAATACTGAAAACAAATTTATAATGATGTATTGCTTCAGATATCTACCAGATCTAACCATTTCTAAAAAACCCTTCTCTAAGGTATGTTATACAGAAATAAAATCTGGGTCATGTATTTTTACTTTGTTAGGTTTTTTTCTTCAATTGATGTAGATGTGTGTATGTATATATGGACACACTTTTTACTGTACAAAATATTATGAAACCTCAGCAACCAGCTATAATCTTCTTCTTTTGCCATAATTATTTCAACTGATTTCAAAATATAGTCTAGAATTTATTGTATATTCACCCTTACAAATAGTTGCAAAAATGTTTCTATACATCTATTATAGATAAACTAATAATGAAACAAAACACTATCTATGCAATTGCTTCATGTGTTTCTTTTAAATGTCATTCAGATAGATTGTAATAGTCTTTTTTCCTAGATTTGCACAAAACCCAACTGAGTCCCACTGAACATCTTGTGAAAAGGAAAACACAGGAAGTCCAAAACGTAGCTGATTTTTCTCCCTGGCTCTGAAAATAGGAAGGGAGCTAGCGCTCAGAAGACTAGCAGTCACTTCATGTATTTACAAGGTGTATTAAAAATTATTCAGAGACTACTGACATAAAAAGATAGGTAAAAGGTCCTTTAGCATCATAAAGACTTTTTATATGAAAATAGGCTAAATATCACAGATGTAGCATAGATCAAATCTTCTGAACCTTATTTACTAGTTTGCAGTTTACTAATGTAGAAGACTAAAACAAACCAAGCAAAAAAGAAAAAAAAACCAAAACCAATAATACTGGATTTTACATCCACAAATGCTACAAGTACTTCTTTCTTCAGATTCTTTTGGCAAAATAGGGCTTAGAGCCAAAGCAGGTATTTGAGATATTGCCTATTTCTTTATTCCAAGACCCATTCATGTTCTTTGGTAATGTTATTTGTTACAAAGCACCTGCCACCAGGTGCTTTGATTCTTCTTCAAGTCAAAGAAGGAAGATCATGCAACAGTCTTCAGGCCAGCTGGCCATGCTGGCTGAGCTGAGCTCTCTAGTCGTTAGCTGGTATGTCCTCGTTCCAATGTACTTATGTCTTGCAGAATGCCACTGCTAAATTTGGAGCTGCTTTTCAGCACAGTATCTTTGATCCATCAATCTAAATAGACTAGTGGAGGAAAAATTAAGTCAATCAGGTTGTAGTGAACTGCAGGGGCTTTTGTCTACCAGCTGTGCAACGAAGCCTTATTTTTTGGAGGTGCTTCTAAGCTGAGAATTCGTCAGTATAAGGAAGTGTAGCTTTTGAGTGCAGACAGTTTCCCTCAGCAGTGGAGATTCAACATGCACCAGAATCCTTTAAATTAATTCACTGATCTGGCAGGAGGTTTGTGAGCTTTTTTCTTCCTGAAGTTCCATGCCATATTCAAGCTAAACCTTTTTTCTTACAACAGAAAGGGAATAATTGGCATTCGAAGACTTGGATAATCCTTGAATTCTCGTAGGTAGGTGCAGTGTTTATCCTTTGCCCAGATTGTCATCTGAATGAAGCAAAGCAAGGTGAACAGCCCCACTAGAAGGAAGTGAGAAAAAGATATGTTTCTTTATCAGATTAAAAACACAGTCCTGTTGCTGACATCACTTCAAGGTGAAGTACCAAAACATTACTCACCTGGAACACACTGAGTCATGATAGTGAAACTGATCCAGGTCCCCACCTGTTTTGGCCAAGGAAATTTAAAATATTTCTGGTGACAGTATTTGCATTTATGTCTCTATTGATCAAAAACACCCTTGTCCTAGTATAGGTAAATAAAAAAGCCAAGGTCAGCCAGATCAACTTCTAATGTTAATAACCTTTAGGCAAAAAGGTGAACAGGGCCTTATTATCACAAACAAAACCTTCATGTTTGCTTTCATGGCTATTATCATGACATGAATGCATTACAGCATAGAGTCCTTTCTGGTTTTCTGCCTAATTTGTATTTGTCACACCTCAATCAGTGCTGGGAATGGTAAATTTCTGTAGTATGAGGCCAAATGCTATTCTCATTTACATCTGTTAATCTCTACAGAAGTTAAAACCTGATTCTGTCCTTCTATGCATGAGTGAATTTTAGACTGAGTTGCACTGGTTTTAACTGCTTTTGAACGGAGTCGGCAGGTTTGGCTCCTAATTAAGGAATATGAAGCAATAAACCCGTTCAAGCTTCTAAAACAGTCACCAACACAAGTGTCAATATAACTTAAGAAAAGGAAGAGGAAAACCTGAACCTATTTCCTATTTTCTCCACCACAATATCTTCTATTCATCCATTTCCCCCTTTTGTCTACCACAATATCTTCTTTTTGCCCACTATCTTCCAGCATACTGTGATATTCCTGGTCTCTCTTATATTGCAGAAGTCCACCAGCTGCCCTCATCCCTCTTGCAGCGCACATTCAGTGGCAATTGCCCTGTTCCTGTCTGCAAAATGTGCACTGCTTGAAGTGTATCTTGTCCATCAGCCACGCTGCAGCACAGGCCAGTATCTGAGCCATCTGTTTTAAGGTTAGCTGTAAGTAGTGCCTCAAGGGAGGGGAGGCAGAATAGGCAAGTTCCTGTTTGCAGTCTGATTTCATGGGGTTTAGGGGAGTAGGGGAAATGTATTTTCAGAGGGAAATGTAGGTTTCAGAGGTTTCTTCCATGTTTAACATTCCAAAAGAAATGAAAATATATTCAGCAAAACTAAAATCTTAATCTGGTTTGAAAATACATACCTCATATGTATAGTTAGGACAAGACACAAAGAAAAACAGCCATGTGAAAGGATTCTTTGTTGGATATGGGATCTTACGGGTTTTGGCTCCTATAGATTAGAAAACAAATCACAAAATATTCACACTCCTAAATATATTGTTTCCTGTAAAGACAACCCAAATTTGCCTACTCCTCTGTCTCATCACTGTCAGAGGGGCAAGGAATATGTGGGAAAACAGGATGTCCTCTGGAACCTTAAGAAGCATTAGGATAACTGTGAGGAAATGTTCTGGGCATTAGAAAGTTATCTACCACAGTCACTCATGTAAGAGATACCCCAAGTTTTAGATCTAGAAGTTAAAGGTTTTCTCTGGTTGTCACAGAATGGCATTTTAGCAGTCATACTTGATAGCTGAAAGTTTGGCTCATGCCCAAGGAATCCTGGCCTGCACAGAGATCTTACTTTCCCTTGCTCACCAATGCTTGGCTTATACTAGCACTGTTTCCTTTTGCACCACAAGCGTAACTAAGGTAACAATCTGGCCCTAACCAATAAGAATTACAGCAAGATAAGAAGTGGTGTTTAACAGTCCGGTGTTGGATTCCTTGCGCTGTCTGATCTCCCCTAGAATCCAATCTTCACAATGTTGAGCAACCTGTGTGCCCATAGCAGTCACCTGGTGGGTATCAACACCCTCCAGGCTCAGGTCTTTCACGAGGTAGAGTAACTGCAGAAGTGTAATGACTGGCTGCGCAAAAGTAATAATAACAATAATGCACTTTTTACCATTTCTCTGGAGGTCACTGAGTGCAACATGAATGGAAAAATTTCCAGCTTCACACAGCTGCAAGAAAAGGCATGACAGAGTTAAAAATATGCTTCTTTTCACTCTTCTTCCTTTTGTGATTTTCTGGACTACTTAAATAATAAAAAATCTACTATAAACAAGATTTTAAAATGGGAGTTAATGCACGGTAATAAATATGCTTAACCAAGATTGCTCTTTGACAGGAGGATGGAATGTCTTTGTTCAAACATGAGTCTACATTATACTCTGTTATACATTTACGATACTTGCCAGCAAATGTGGACTCAGTGTCCAAAAGGTCAAATTTACTATTTATATAATCCTCATGACCTTTAAAGAAAATAAACGAAAGAGGATAAAAGTAAATCCAGGAGATACTTGCTTTATCTTTTGGTAATTCTTACATCTTTAAAAACAACCCCCAAAAAATTATTTGGATAGGTTTTTTTCCTGAAAATTATTAAAATCCCAAAGAAGATATGGGTTGAGCTCTAAGTAAGTTTTCTTGACATGACTAATGAAACATAATTGACCCAGCTCCCTCCACTTCTCCACCTGTTTATGTAGAAAGTGTATTGAAATGACCCATTTATATGATTATGGTCAGTCTCCAGTGTCTGCAAAGCATAACCGTTAAAGCAAATGACTGGTGATGAGAGCTCCTGAGATTTATTCCCAACTCTGTGCTTTCAGTTATGTAGTCCCTCTATAAAATGGGGATAGATTATTAACTCACAGACTTTTCATACTGGGAAGGTGCTTTGAGATCCTGTGGTCACTGATGATTAGTTTCTCAAAGCATATTCTAAACAAGTTACACATCCATGGGAAAAATGGGTTTATCATTGTTGGCTGCACTAATATTGCTTCTGCATGTATGAAATGTTCACAGGAACTGTGAGAATGTACAGACAGTAGCTTAAAATTTTTGCATTTTAAGGAAAGCTGTGAAAAATTTATGAAGCCAAGCAAAATGGACCTCTGTCCCTGGAAATTCAGCTAAATACTTTCTTAGTTGGCCAGTTCTCTGAGTTTTATGACCTGTTGTGATTCTCAACAGTTAATAAACAGTTCACAAGACAAACTCACTAGCTTTTAACAGTGTCACAAACTGGTAGTTCCAAGATTCTTTTAAAGATTATGAGAGATCGTCTCAGCAAATAAATATCCCAGTCTTGGAATAGATACTGAATCAAAATCTTCCCTTGTGTGCAAGATCACATTAAAACCTGACATATTTATCTGTTCTGCATGCAAGTAGTCAGCTTTAGTAGTACATCCCAAGTGTTCAAGTTTTTAAGTATCTGCTTATCCTACTCACTCTTCCACTCACACAAAATAAGAAATAAAGCAGCACGTTTTAACAGTTTGTAAAAAGAGCAGAAGACCTACCAGAAACATGATCACAGCAAAATTTATCTGTTTTTTCCCATAAGCTATAAAAAAAAAAGTTTACATATAATTGGTACTAATATACAAACTCCTAAGTGCTTAAATCATACTGAGGGCTGTTTTGCTACTTACAAGGAGGAGTATAAAGAGGATGATTGATGTAATAAGCAAGCCAAGCTGCAAATCCCCAGTAATACAAGCAGTTCTGAAAAACAGGGAATTTTTTCTTTGTTTTAGTTCAATCCTCTAAGCCAGTATTCACTGCAAGGACCGCTGCTAACAATCAGTCGGGCTGATCCTTCAAGTTGCTGATAATACAAAATATTACAGTACTGAGTGTGATAAGGTGGGAGCAGGCAACAGGAAACAACAGGAAGGAAGTAGTGCCCAGAGTAAGATCTCCTCTCCAATATCATGGAGCTGTTAAGTTTATGAACAGTTTTAGAAAGTATGATCATATTACTGAAAATTAATTAATCTTGTCTAGCAAGCCATTTGGCCAATACAGACTATGTTAAAGAGAGACTTGTTTTGCTAACCCCTGAGACTTCGCAAAAACAGATTTTGATACTGTCGCTCTTCCTTACTCATTACTTTGTATTGCCCAATTACTTGCCCTTCATCTTCTCCTTCACCACGCCTGTTTTCTTTCTTTCCTATGCTTGAACTTTTCCTACCTAAAGTCATCATGCCTGACACTTTCTTCTGCCCTTTCACTGTGATATCTTTAGTTTGCCCCTTCTGCTGCTGTCCTTGGCTTTCTATGATCCAGGTTCCATTCTCTAAACTCTGATAACAGGGCTCTCACTAGTGGTTGTACTGACTCATTCCTGACCAATCTCAGAGCTTGTTCACAGGCTTTACCCCTGAAAACAGACTACTTACAACCTCTGTCTCTGGTTTTCCTGGCCCTGCCTCTTTTGTTTTTTTCTTCTGACACTCATTGTTGCTTCAATATCTCGGTGACAGGTTATCTTCCTCCTTATGCAGGAGGGAGACCTTTTCTTGACTCATTCTTCATCTTCCTCTGTGCTCTCACCTCTAGGTGCCATTCTCCTGCAGACATAGTTTAATCCTTGTTGACAACTCCTAAGTTTGCTTCTCATCAGCAGAGATTTATCAAACCTAGTGCCCCAGTTTTTAACCTCAGTTTGGTTATCACCTGGACTTCAGGAAGACTAAAAATGAGCTCATCTTCCTTTCACCACTTCTGCTGTTCTTTTCCTTCCGCTTAGCTTTCCTTCCCTCCTATTTTCACTCGTGAGTAAAACACTGATCCTCTTACTGATCATTCTTTCTGGTGGTGCTTTTTTCTTAGCAGTAGGTTCGCATACCTGAGGCATTTCTAGGTCTTTCTGCTTTCTCCTTCACAGCTTTCCTTTCCTGCTCATGCAGCCAAAATTCTTATCTAAGGCTCCTTTCTTTCCCATCCTGACTGGTTTAACTTGCTGGGATTTTTTTTTTTTTTTTGCTTTGAATTGTGCAGCCTTTTCCTTCTATGTATACAAGAACTGCATTTCTAGCAATAACACCCCTAAAAGTGATTACCTCAGCGTCTGCAACCCACACTAGCTGACTGCAGTGTCTGACAGTGCATTTTTCTGAAAGTGCTGGTTCCTTCACCAGCCTTTTCAGAAACAGTCACAAACAGTGACCACTTTCTTTTCAAAGTTAATTGAACCGTTGAAGTGCCCAGAAACCTCAGACAAAATGGAGGCCCTTTTGGGCATGCTGTAATACATACACATAGTATGTCCTTGCTCTGAGGTGATATGTTAACAGATAACTGAAGAGAAAGAGTGAATTATTAACCAATAATTACAGATCAGGTGGGGCAAAAAGGTAGAGAGATTAAGTAACTTCACTGTGACAACTTCCCTTTTCTCCAGGAAAAGCAGCAGAGATGGAAGAACGACTCCAGCGAGGAACCATCTAGTTAGTGTCCTGTCCATAAACTAGTGCTTCTTCCCTAATGCTACCCTCTCCCACCATCATCTATGATTTATTAACTACTGTACAAACTTAGGTGGAAACGCTTTCTTGTAATCTTGGAATGGCGTCTTATTAAAAACCTTTCCCTAACTTCAGCCTTGGCACAGGATGGATCATGTGGCAGTGGATCTCAGTAAAGTAAAATCAAATAGATTATCACGGCTCAGCTCCGAACAATACATGCTGTAATTAAACTGAATGAGTACTATTCATCCAAAGAACATGATATACATGAGTACAAGAGTATTCCTCAGTTATAAGAAAAGGAGCTTTAAAATGAGTGGAGTCTGCTACTGCTAAGGTTCTCAGCAAACACTGCAAACATCCATCTGCCACTAGAAGCCTCATTGCTCATACAAAAGCCTCCAGCGAGGTTCAGAGAGGAACAGCAGAGTACATGCAGACTTTATAAACTCACTTGAAAGAAATTGTTTATGTGAATCTTTCATATTCCAGGTGAATAATAAAGCTTTACAACAATCTCTTATAAAAAGATTTTGTGAATCAAGTTCAGATATTGCATGCATCCCATAAAAAGTTTACAAAGTTATGCTTAGAATTTTAGTCCACTCCAACTGACAATCCCTATGTTGATCAAAACTATTTCTTAATGCCCTGCCTGTGTTTATTCATTACTAGCATGTACCTTTCTGTTTGTTTTGTATTGTCTTCTTTAATTTAGTGTTTTCTTTCCTCCAAAGGCTTTTATAGAAAGCAAAAATATCCCTTTTTTCCCATGAAAATGTCCAGTGAGACCAATCCTAAGATTAATCTTTGAGAAATTCCACCAGTACCTCCCTATTAGTAAAGGTCTGACAGATCCTTGCCTGGTACAACCACGATCATCGTTCCTTTAGTCAGTTGCTTTATCACCACAAAATTTTTGTATTAATCCCTATTTTATTCATCCTGAGGCAGTTGTTTGCCAAGTCCAGATAAATCAATTATTCTACTTTTCCATTGCCTAGAAAAATCATGTATCTTAGAAAGACTTACATACCTTGTTACTATATAGCATGAACTGATTTGGTGGACCTCTGCTGTCCTGAATCAATTTGGTAAACAAAGAATGAAAATCACAAATCTCATCAATTCTTGTCTCAGATCCCTGCTTATTGAGACTGAAGTGTTTCTGGATAAAGGTAACTTTCCATTGTACTTAAGAAATAAGCTATCTATATCTGCTATGTATGTGATCAAGCACTTTTAAGTGAAGTGTTTTCTACTATCTGTATGTGAGATAAAAAAGAGAAGAGGCACAGTTTTGGAGTAATACCACCAAAGTCAATGAAATAAAAGCAAACCAAACCCAAGCACTGCTAAGCAAGGAGAAGAATAACAGAGCAAATTTACAAATGAAACCAAGTACCACCAAGCTGAGAAGGTGGTAGAAGTGATCAGAATGACTGCTACAAATGTCAATTTTAGCAACAACAGTTTGTATGGTCTGAGAGGAATAAGCAGTTGTCAGATATGGCAGTAAGAAAATGAAGATTTATAGCATGCTACGGATTGTTTTTCAAGATAAAAGTTGCTCATTTATCCACTGTTTAGCATGTATTAGCTACTATTGTGTCAAGATCAAGTCTTTAAGAGATTTGCTAGCCTTTTAACAACGCTGTACTCTTCTGCTGTAGAAAACACAGTAAATTGCTAGGTAGGATTCTTACTGAGGGCCACTACTCAACTACAGAGCCTCCTTGCGTTCAGAAGGCCTGAAGCTATCGCCAGAACTACCAGAGCCACTGCACAGCTGTAAGGAGTTAGCCACAAGGTAGAACTTCAGCTGCTGGGAGTATCACAGCCAAAATGCAAATTCCAAGGGATTGTCTAAAATACCATGATAAATACCCAAATGCTGATACTATACAGTTTTACAGGTGTAGGTGATAATCTCCTGTCTTCCTGAGTCTAAAATGTAATTTTGAATACCAGTATGTACTTTGTTGCAAACCTTTGTAAAATAACTACAAGTCATGCATAACCATTCAGTCCTCTGTACTAGTTCGCAGACATCCAGGAAACAGAGGGTCTGCATCTTGACAGCTGCCCTGTGCCACAGCAGCACTGGTAACAGTAGGGAGTGCTCCTACAGAAGAAGAAAATGCAGAACAACCAAACTGCTTTGCCCTGAATCAAAGGTAAATTAACAGTTGCTTAACAGCAAAGAGAGTATTAGAGGCAAACAAGGTGTACAATGGCTGTTACAAAAGTAGAAATTTTATTTTTAAAAAAAAAAAACCACCCTCCCAATATTGTGCCTGCCTGTGCTACCTTAAAAGTTAACATCGTTAGGAAAACCTTCACGCCCAAGGAGCTAGCTGAGTGAAAAGGAAGGGTAAACTGAAGGTTTAAACTTCTAAAAGAGCAATGAAAACACTGTAACATGAATAACAGTACGACAACATGTGGGCTATATAATAGTGACATTAGGAATGCTTTTGAAAGAACTGCAGACTTATGGGTGAGATTTGCTGTGCATTAGTACAAAAGCCACACCAAAAAAGCTGTGCTGCAGCGGCAGAGCATAGGTTGGCTATGTTGGGCTTGTAAGGGGGGCTATGGATAGAGTCTGACACAATTTACCTTCACAATATTCCTCAGTGGCATAGTCCCATGGGAGAACCGATGAACAAACACTGTTTCAATCAACCTTTTGATGTAGTGGAAAGAATGGCAGATACATGCCAAGCTAGAAACAGCAAGACAAAAGCATTTAAGAGGGCTTAAAAACCAAGTGTGGCAAGACATTTGGAATAAGACTACAATGCTCAAGCCTGCAAACGGACTTACTTAACTACTGGATGTGGGCTTGATGTAAACCTCTCATCCAGTCCATAGACAAAAGGCATGCGGAAATAAAACAGAAAATAGATGAACAATGGACCTGTATATTCTATCAAAAATACCTGCAAAAAGAGAAAAAATAATTAGACAGATGAATTAGATGCTGATTTTGCTTTGGTTTCTTTGCGATAACTAATGCAGTGGTGGGATAAACACCTCCACTGACCCATCATGGCATTTAGAGAGACAGGGAGGGAATAGCAGGTTTGGGCTTGGGCCATGAAAGTGGCAGGCATGCACGTAAATGTTCTGCGATGCATTCGCCTCAGTTGCATACAGACAGCTTTGCCAGTGCAGCTGACACAGTATGGGTATGAAAAGATAATCATCAGCAGTCCAGACATCAGGATAAACATGCATGCATGTTACATTTATGCAGCTCTCACCCTTTTCTTGCCCTCAAAAACTGTTGCTTTACTTTGGGTTAAAACAAAATTTGGTGAAGAATTTATCTTGAAAAATGTAATTGTTTCTAATTAATTAATTTTGTTTAAACTGGAAACACAGCTTTTAAGTGTTCACAGGTTACCCCATCTGTATAAACAGTTAGCACAGCAGATGTCCAGGAAACAATCAGTTCATTCTATGTTCAAATGTTTAATGTGAACACAAAGAAAAGGGAAAGGAAAAGAAAGAAAATAAAAGAAGAAACCAAAGAAACTATTATCTAACTTGATATAATTTCAGGTCGGTGTGCATTTCATAGGAATATCACTTTAAATTGAAGTGAACTTTGGACCAGACATTAACAGTTGAATTTTCCTCACTTCTGTGAGTGAAGAAGGTAGGTCCATACCTCATTTATGGAGAAAGAAAGGAAACTGATTGTACTTCTGCCAACAAAAAACAAGCAAACAAAAAAAAAAAACAAAAAAAAAGAAACAAAAAAACCCAACCCACAAACACTGCTTCCTAATGCCTTTAGAGTTATTTTGACATTCAAAGAAGTTGTGTCCCTGACTTTTGTAGCAATCAGCATTTTCTCTGGCAAAGAACAGATTTGATTGTAGATTAGAAGTTTGTCTTTTTTATTTGATAAGACTGAAGTATTTCGTGGCTTACATTTGAATGAAGTAGCTTGAAGGGCAGGGAGAACAGAATATAAAGGAAAGAGTATGGAATGGCAAAAGTCTGGTGTTATTCTGCATCGTGACATTTTGGTATATATTGATGCAGGTATGTCTTGGGCTCTGTATTGCCATTAGAAGTTTTGCCTGTCTTACTGTTTTTTCTGATTGTGTAATATCTGCCTGATTTATCAGCATTGCATTCAAAGTAATGATGTGAATAGTAACTCTTCCAGGACATTTGACTTTTAAAAAAAATTTTACCTCATATGAATGTTGTCTTTGCTATTTGTCATTAGCACAAGATTTTATTAAGGTCTCAGAGCTAAGAAATTGTAAATATGCTTGTAAATTACTGGGAACTTTTCCCTTCATGCTGTGCTGTTTCATTATAACTAGTGTAATACATGTATCATGGACCTTCTGAAGAACTGGAAGGGCTATTGGGCCCTTCACAGCACCAACAGCTGTGCTGTGTTGCCTGAGGAGTGAGTTGTAACAGAATTTGCATTTGAGCTAAGACAGTAAATATGCGAGGTCTTTGTGGATGGCTACTAATACTACAGAAATTACCAGCTGTCATTAGCCTGCCATCACCAGCATCCTGGGACACAGGCACATGCAGACAGCTAGCTGATCTTACTTTCATGCATTTTACTGCTGAAGTTGTTGCAATTACTGACATGTGAAGTTGCTCACATGCCTCTTTGTAGGACAAATTCAGAGGATTATAATCCTCATCTTTGTCAGGAGAGTTACACAGGCCCTGTGAAGCAGATCTCCAAAGGCATTTAGACACACAGTTACTAGAAATTTTGTGGTAGACATATAAATCCATTTGAGAACCTGCACCTTAGCTCAGTAGAGCCAACCTAATGTGCAGCAAGTTTTCCACTGCTGCTCTCCCAGGGAACGAGGCATTCAGAATATCCTGTTACTGCTTTCCCTGATTAAATGAACTGAAGCCATGAGGAGTCATTGCCTGCATCCACTGTCAGAGCAGGCATCATGCAGAAATATTGGAGAGAGACAAAAGTGATATAAGGATTAATTATGTAAAAATAGCCATTAAAATGGCTCAGACTTGAAGCATAGCTCACCGTAGTCCATCCTATCTGTGGCCCTAAATCTTTAAAGTATAAGGTAGCAGTTGTGCCAACAGGGAGATGCTGCAGGATTTCCTCATCCCTCAGGGACTTTCCTTCTGAGAAGGAAAGAAGTAATTACAGCTCAGTGAAATTCAAGTCAACTTTGGTAGCATAATAGCTTTATATTGTTCTTTAACCAATCCGTGAGATTCTTTGATGTGACGTGAGTTGGAATCTCAATAAAGAAACAAAGAATGTTTACACTTACTTTGATTTATCCCTGTAATAGCATATGAGCCTGCATTCTCTATTCACAGGAAGACAGTTAAGAAAATTCTCAATCCTGCGTCTGCATAGTCTAGTAGGCTCACTTCATCACTGCTACAGCAGAATTTGCTGATGGGTTACAGCCATTCAACATAGTTCACCGACCCCCTAGTCAGCTGCACCTCCATTGTTCTCTCTCCCTCTCTTCTCATTGCCCATTGTCAGCCAAACAGAAGCTAGGACAAGCTGAGATTGGAAGGCTTTCATTGGTTTCATTGGAGGTTTTCATTGCCTCCTCTTTCCCAACCAGTCAGCTAGGAGGTGATTCCACAGAGCTTGAGCTAGCACTCAGGCTTCTAATTCCTAGATTTGGGGGAGCCTCCAGAGGGCCAGTATTTTCTCACAGCCAGTGTCATAACATAAGTCCATGGAGGAATCTGACAAGGCAGAACTTTGAAGAAGGAACTAAGAAACTCTTCCATGGACAGATTCTACACAATGAACTAACCTTCACCAGCATACTTTTAAGGGACTATTCAAATAGAAATATGCTTAATGGAAATGAAAGAAGAAAGTGTTACTTTTACACTGAATGCTGATGAATTACCACAGTTTGTCAATTTGACTTTCTTTTGTGCACCCAGGCCACGTCCTAACAGGCTTCTAGTAGGAATCCCTACATCTGCATTAATGAAGTCAGCCAGCTGGCATTAGCTTTGTCAGCAAATCCTACATCCATTGCAATGTGCTTTGCATTAGCTTACCTCAAAAGAACTGTAATTCCTACCTGAGAGCAGAGGATTATGTGAACTGATAGTTCTAACTCATAGCCCTTTTTAGTACTCCCAGCTGAGCATCACTGTGGAGATCATCTCACTGCAGCTAAGAGAAATTAGTACCTAGATTCTGTGCTACCTGTCTGAAAGCAAAAGTGCTCAGTAGTTAGAAAGTGCATTGGAAGAATCTGCAAATTCCTGAGTTAATTACCAAGCACCAGGCACACGTATGGAATTCTGTTCAATATTTTCAAAGAATTAAATTCGTTATGGGTTTTCTTCGGCCTTCATAGTGCTAAGGATCATAGCTGGAAACTCGTTCTTAAGAGCTAACACCCATGCAAAGTACACATTTCATGCCAGGCCACTGCTCCCAGCTTTATTACTCCAATCCTCACAAGCACTTACTTGGATCAAGTTTTATCGACTGTCTTGCTGGATACCACTGAGGATCTGTAAGACCATACAGAATTGTGTGATATACAATGTTTGTTTTAAATCACCCACTATTATAATTGCAACACAACAAGATAAGATTTAGTTAAAGATTTTTTGGGAATATTTATTCAACATTATATCTGTGAGTAATTGTGCAGAAGAAAAAATACAAAGGTGTATCAGGATAATATAAAAAATTATACTGAAATCTCACTGTGATTGCATTCAGGTGCAGGTTACTTAGCATTAAGTGTGTGTACATCACATGTTTCTAATTATGTAATTTCTCCTATTTATATACTGTATATTCTGATGTGATGTGAAGTGCTGCAAAAGTTATACTCACATAATCTATGAAACATCAGTCTGATCTCCCTAATTGTGGCATTTGGTTCCACCTAGGCAACAAAAAATATTGTATACATAAGATACATATTTTGAAAGACAATTACTAGGTGTAAGACTATACAATAAGACTATACAAGTAGAAATGTGACTCAAACAATATAACAGTGTAAGTTTCTTAGAGGTGGCTAGAAATGGTATGGAGGATTCAGAGTACTTCTTACAGGAAAAAGGGAGGACAATTTGTGGCATCTGTTTCAGAGGCAGTTTCTGTAGCAGTTTTCAAGAGTTACTACAACAGTTTGATGGCTTGTGAGTGAGTAAGGCACAACTGGTACCATCCTAGTGAAGCAGGTGAAATTGTGCTCTTTGCCCAAAAACTCCTTCAGGAAAACAGTTAAAGTACTCTGTAGTCAGTGTGAAGTGTGCATAATTGGTGCCTCTTCAGTGGCCAAAGGAAGGCTACCAGGAGATAAACTACTCTTCATAAACACTAAGTTTACTTAAGAAAAGTTAGTAATTTTTATATAGTCACCTAGCATTTTAAACAGAATTTTATTTTACCTTATCTAGGAAGCATAGCTGTTTCTTTGTCTTCCAATCAAGGATTTCCACCTGACAGGATACAAAATGATAATTACTAATTATTGGCTAAATAATGTCTAAATTCTTAGTTGATTCCCAAATTCATAATCATTGTTCAGGGTGAGACTCCATTTTTCTCTGGTCTTTGGTCTGTGTTAAAAATGCTTCTGATGTGCTCAAGAGACAGCTTTAATCATAGCTAGATTCTCAAAGAACTCAACTTGCAAAACAAATAATTTGTCTTCCTGAATATTTTCAGAAGCAAAAGTAGCTAATATTGATCAAAACACTTTGCAGTATTTTCTTATGCTAGAGCAAAAGGAACAAATAAAGATAGAGAAGTTTCAGAGGAATCACTAAGGAATAGAATTTTTATGATTTGTAAAACTAGAAAGACAGTTTGAGAAAAAAAAATTGCATATATATGCATGTAAGCAAGTATTCTGAGTACATACAGCTTGAAGAGTAATGTTCATTGTTCCCAGAATAATTGATTTGTAAAGAAAGTGGAAAGCATTAGTGGACAGGATGAACTGATGCAGCTAAAGATCTGGACTTCACAAATCCTTAAAAGGTTGTTGCAGGAATATTCAGCATTACTGTTGCTTCTCAGATCACCTGTGATCTGAGCATTTTATGTTCCAAGCAGCGATTTAGCTACAGCTCTGAAAAGGAAAGAGCAGTTTATTTCTGTGATCAAATGGCACTTTGGAAAAAGGTTATGGTGTTAATCAACAGCCAAACTGCAAAGTCCCAAATCATTTCAAAGTTCAGTTGCAGCAGGCTAGCAAAACCTAAAATACAGTGATGGTGTTTAAATTGTATTTGTTCTCATCCAACACTTTGCAATGGAACTTTGTTGTATAGTTAGGAGTGAAAGCTCAAAGCTTGTGTCACACTAAATGACTGGGACTACCATTACTTAGTACCAAAAGAGTCTGTTGTGGTTTTTTTTAAAACAAACATCCAGCATTAATTATGTTTGGTATTAACTGGCCAAGAGGATAGATTAACATTAAACTTTAAATATGATTCCTTACTAAAAATAGGAGCCACAGTCCAGTATCTTTCTAATAGGGTTGCTTTGAAGAGATCACTTGGTTGAAGTATCTGATTTCCTTCTTTTACTTGTCCCAGTTTGTTCTTTCTCTATTGGTGCAGCAATGGAGCACTTGGCTCCAGCCAGAAGTATCAAATCTGATCCCCACAAGGAATACTAATGCAATGATGTTTTCTGCTTGTGCATTGTAAGCTCTAAGTGGGACATCAAGTGAGGTAAGCACTTTTCCACCTGTGTGACACTCCTTTTTGTTTTAATTTGAAATTAAAATTTCAATTTTTTATTTTCTCTGTTTGTGAGACATCTCCACTGGAAATAAAATGAGTGGATTCCCTTCCTAGGGGGCTCTTCTTAAAAAACAGATTTATGCCTCTTGCAGTCCACTGAGCAAGTACTGTGGGGACTGTCCCTTCTGATGCTGAGTTACTACATGGATTATTGAAACTTCTGGTGTATCTCAGAGCTCTTGCGTTAATGAATACAATTGGACTGCCCTACAGACTGCAGTAGGGCCCGCAGCTTTGGCAGTCTCCTTCCCATTCCATACCCACTCCCAGAATATACATATTGGATCAGAATTCCCCAGAGACAGTTTTAGTCTATGGCCTTCAGTGGCTGTACTAGAGAAATCTTCTCAAGGCCAATTACAGAGTGGTTTGGCTAGCTTTCTACCACCTACACTCTTTTAATTAGTTTTTTCTCATTATGCATAAGGCCAGACTGAAAATTATAAACCATTTTTTTTGCTCTGTGGTTTTCATGGAAGTGGTTGTACAGAAATTTAAGTACGTCTTTAAAACTGCAATCAAATGCAAGGAAATCTTTTCACCATGAGGTTGGCCAAACATTGGAGCAAGTTGCCTAAAGAGGGCTTTGGACCACATGACTTCTAGAAGTCCCTTGCAACCTAAATTGTTAAGTGTTCCTCTTTTGGTTTTGGACACCCATTCCTGAACTTCAGACATTTCTGTTACTTTCAAGACCTAAGCAAATATCAGCAACATGGCTTTAGATTCCACTCCAGCCCATAGAAAGTTGTGCAACAACAGAGTGAAAACAAGGTGATTGTTTCCTCTAATTAACACACCTCTTAACTGTATCAGAACATACCCCAGTGTTTAGATGTTCCATGCATAAGGGATAGAAAAGCCTGATCCAAGGCAAGAAATGTTATCTTTTCCAAACATAATGGCCAATCACATGAACCCACGTACACTGAACACAGTGTTTCCAGTCTTTAGGCACAGCACCAAGTCAGTTAATGTATTGGTTGGCAACAGTTTTTAGATACCCAGCAATCTGTTCTTGGAACACTTACTTATGGGTAGCATCCCTTTCAAACATAATTTTTTTAGCTCAGAGAACTTTAATTCCTACGTGTTTTCAAAGCATTTAGCACAACAGGCCACTGACTGTTGGCCTGCACCAGTGCAGTATGACTTACAGTCCACTTATTTAGTGAATTTTTAAAGGCATTTTAAATTACAGCTTCTCTAAAACTACTTTGAGTAAAACTTAATCAATAGGTAGATCTGTGCAAGATAACTCTCTTAAAACTCTTCTATGACTACAAATATGTATCTCCAGTGCTTAGAAGAGAAATTCATTCTAGTGAGTAAGGATTAAAGACTAATATTGTGTTTAAAATGCAGAACGACTTCTCCCTGAACTGTTAGAGTGCTTACATATGCCAAGTTCCTTGAATTTAACACTAAAAAAAAATGCAGTGGTTGCCACAGTCCTAACTGGATCTTTCTAAACTTTTTATTTTTCCTATGGAATTAGTAATTTTCTCTCTCTCCTTAGACTTTTCGGTCACACTAGACCATATCAAGAATAACTTTCTTGAAGTCAATGGAGTTAAGCCAAAGGAAAATTACTGTAAAGTATACTTAGACCAAAAACTATATTTGTGCTGCTGCTACTATAACTGCCTTTCAATCTGAAACTTCCCTTGCACAGGAATGTACAAACTGCTGCAGAGGATGAGTCCAAGGATTCACCTAGAACAGATTCTTTCTTTCTGATACAGCGAGAAACAGGTGATTCAGACAAAGTAATAAAACAAGGCAAGAATGTAGTGATTGGAGGGAGGGGACAGATACAGGAACTGCAATTTTCCTGCACCAGAAGTGCTGTCTTTGTATTTAATAGCTTTTCGTGGATTTTTTCCTCAATTAGTTTATCTACTTTTCTTTGAAACCCATGTGAACTTTTTGCATGCAGTGTCCTGAGGCAGGGAGTTCCATAGCTTACCCACATGCTGCGTGAGGAATTCCCACAGCAGAACCAAGACAAATGTTTAACTACAAAGCTACTACTACTACTTCAATGTTACCTGTGGAGTGCTGTACCTTATTCTGTAAGTAGTCCAACTAAGTAAAGCCTTACCTCTCTGAATTGGCTCATATTTCATGAGACTTGAATCTTATTACATTATTTTGCTGTGTATAAAGAGATATAGTGACACCCATACTCAGAAGGTTTTATACAGAATTTAGATGTCTAACATTTGCAGGCTCACAAGATATACACTAGGTACTTACTCCTCAGCTTCCCAAATTGTTCTTCTATACATGCCAATGAGAACCACTGTCTCAACTGTGCTGGAACTCCTAGTACATTTTTATTTCTTCCATCTGTGTCAGATTTGTTAGCTAGGCATGGTTGAATCTAAATCCTCAAGGACCTTGATCCGGTAAGCATCTTTATCCCAAAGTCAGCACAATGCATAGTATTTAGATTATTTCTGAGTGAAACTAAACTGTGAACAAAGAAGATGATCTAGTTTTACATGCTTTGTATGTAATGGCTAGACACACTGCCAGAAGTGGGAAAATTATTTTAGACTGTCTTCTGCCACTCCCCACTCCCCCTGAGAAGGCCTGGGTGTATTGGGCCACCAAAATCTTTTTATAAGATTAAAGAGAGACCAAAAAGTACAGGCAGGAGAGGACAGAAGTGTGTTCCAGTGAAAAGGGCACTCTCTTACCAATGAGAAATCCTGAATTCCTGCCTCTCAGAGCTGTTTCAAGCTCTGCTCCCTTCCACTGTCATTCTGTTCTGCACTTCCCTACAGTGGGTATCTTTTGGGATACCACAAAGCGAAGGGGTAGGGTTGAAGTAAACTTGAATACCTTAACCAAATTGTCATATCCACACTTGGAGCTGAGTGCCTAACCCAAAGGCGCGGCAAACCCCAAGTCGCTTTGTGGACCTGGACCTGAGGATGGTAACAGGTGTGGAGCTACAAATGATTGTCCTTCAGAAAGACAAACACATTTATGTAATTAACAGGGCACAAAATGAGTCAGTGTAAGAATAGCCAGGAAGGAAAAGGAAGGTGTCTTCCCTGGTAGTGGGAGGCTGGTTTACTTTTCACAAAATGGAATAGCTGTTAGAGGTTTGTGCTTTCACAGCAAATTCTGGCTCTTGAAAGCCTATGAAAGCTTTCCAGCTTTTACTAGCATGACGTCTTCCACGCGGATACAGGAGATGGGAAAGGAACCTGCACCAGTTAATACTGACTCAGTGGGTATTTACTTACACTGGCTAACACAGAGCCGCACACTGCCAATTTCCCAGGCATACTGAAGAGTCACATCATTCACCAAGTATCACTGTCACTATGAAGCAGACTGGAGTGCCTCCATCTGAGAACCTAAGACAGCTTTGACTCAACACTAAGTAGACATCCAAGTTTTTGAACACCACTCCGTAGCCTTTTCCATGTGCAACAGAGAATATTCATGTTTTATATGTCTTTTGAGAGGGCTGGAAGCCCTGGGAAGTTTTAAGCTTGTATACTAACAGATGAACTCACAAGATTTGTATTAATTGTTTAAAATATACTCCAAAGAAGTCTATTGCTTCTTCTAAAATAAGACTCACGATTTCCAATGTAGCCTTCAAATTCTGAGTAGCTCCAAGTAACTCCTGCCAAATAATGTTTTACTATCATATTTTCCTTTACAAAATTAAAAGCTTCTCTTTCAAGCCCCATGGAGAAAAAAGGACAAACTGCTGTCTTTTAAATGAAGCAGCACAACTGACTGTAGAAAGTGTTGGCAAGTGAGTGGAGAAGTGGTGAGGGAAGAGAAAGAGAGAATGCTTTTCCGTATCTTTTCGCCCCTTTCTGTGATAATAATTGTGTGTGTTACTTGTGAAAGCAGAGCAGATGTCTTCAAATAGCAAGGCAATTTTCAGCAGTGTCCCTTTAACTGATGGTTCAGATAGCTCATATGTGGCCTTGTCTTGTCTTGCTCAGGCAGCTCTTGGAAGATACAGAATCTTAAAATCCTCTGCAGTCCTGCTTTTGGCACTTGCTCTCAGTGTTTTTACTCGATGAGGCATTAGACAGCATAGCTCTGAGTGGGAGAAACCTTTGTAACAGGAGCTGTGACATCTCAGCAATGCCAGCTAGGCAGCAGTCATCACCCCCTTGCATTCAGAGGGTTTTCATCACAGTCAGAGCAGGGAGAAACTTTAAATGCCAGCAAGGGGGGCCAGTACGTTATTGCTTTTAGACTGTACTGCACATGTCAGTTCAATCTGTCCTCAGGGAATGAAGAGTCCCAAACATTTTTAGTTGTCACTGCTCACAAAAGACACTTCCCATCCAAACCAGTTAAAGCAAAAGTAGAACTGTGGCTCTTATGACACTAATTTTTTACAGCATGAGTGTATTTGTTCAAGTATCTTTCCTCTAGGAAATCAGAGCACCATACTATTTTCTTTATATGAAATGCTTTTGAAGACCTAAAGCTGTCAAGTAGGAAGAAAGGGGAGAATTCGTTAGCCCAACTTCAGAGCTCTCTACTAGAGACATTTACAACTGAGCGTGTCACCGAGACATCCTTTGTATGGAAAGGAAAAAAGCAGGCACTTTTAGGATAAACTGTGTCTTAAGCTCTGAAACAAACCTAAAATAGGTCAGAAGAGTTGTTCTCTAATCAATTTGGAGAAAGGAGCACTCCTAGAGAATACTAATCATCTAGAGACAAATATCTATTATAAATCTCTAAATTTGCAGAGGTGAATCTCCTCAGATTATCAGGTGCAGTACTTTCAGAAATGCACATATTTCTTTTAACTGTAGTTGCTCTTGCTAAGCTTCTCCTGAGCTATTAGTGATAAAAAAGCTGAGGTAAAATTAGAAACATACCTATAGCTGAGGTAAACAGGACCTACTCTAGCATTATGATTATTACAGAATAAGAAATGTAGAGGCAGCCATTTGGACATAGGTCTAGGAGTACAGGGACCTGGCTTTGCCTATCAGTTCTAACACAAATATCTCATAATTAGAGGGAAATCACAATAAAATCACACACTGGTTTTATTAGCTGCACGTCCATGAGCTTCAGCATACTTTGGCTTAATTAGGTGGTTGCTCATAACTCTTGTTGCTAAGTTTAAACATAGCCAATTCAAAATAAGGACCTAAAGGTACTTGCAAAGCTGAATCTTCCTTTCACTGGCTTCTTAATAGCCACTTTAAAACAGTGTTGCCTATTTTTACATGTTTCTGTCTTTAACTGTGCTGAGACAGACTCATAAAGGGAAGGAAGGAATTAACAGTCTGTATCTCAGCACTCATAGTTGGTCTGATGTTCCTGCCTATCTTTTTGTAGGTCCATTCGCCAAAGAATAATTTTATTAATGCACAAAGAAGAGGACCTTCCTATGTGCTCAGGATCCTATGAAACTGATGGTGTACTAAGCATGATCAAATGCACAAAGTGAACAAAACAGAAAGACATATTCCACCAATAAAACTGCTAAACTTGTAACAGTCATATTCTAAAAAATTCAGACAGCGATAGTTTGGTGATTGTAAAGTGCTTCATGATTCTTACAAGGAAGCACCACAGAAGAGCAATAAAGGGTAAATGTTTTAGAGATGTAAAGATGTTTTTAGAGATGTAAAGAACTATACCTCAAACAGGGAATGCTAGCATTTGTAACAGAGATTTCCACACACTCCCCAGAGGAAGCACTGGGAGAGGTGGGACACTTAGCTTCTCTCCTTTGATAACTCAGTTTTGAATGCATGGTGGGGTAATGCAATTCATTATTCAAATTAAATGAAATTAGAACAGAGAGGAAATCAGTGGGGAAAACAGACTTGCTATCACCACTATGGGGAGAACTGCTCAGAGCTACCTACAACCTGAGTCAGCTCAGACACACACTGGATGAGCTAGGCAAATCTATTTCCACCCTTTATCTGCTGTACAGAGAAAAGAACTAAGATATACAAGGCTGACATGTAAATTCATGAGGCATTCTGAGCTTGGATTAGTGTTGCTTAGACACAGGATCTTGATTTCGGACTCAGAAGACCTGTATGTGCTGATATTGTTCTGTCTAGCAAGATGGAGCAGGTCATTCTGCTTCTGCATGTTTCCCCATCTGCAAAATGAGGTCTTTTTAAGTCTTCTAGTACAAGTGCTATTCAGAAGTTCAGTATGGCTAAGGCAGCAAACCTGCAGAATAGACAATGACTGAAGAAGGGTAATACACATGTGCCGGCTCCTGTGTTTGGATCTCACAAGAGTTTGGGACACTGGTAGAAATGCAGGAGGCAGTGAAACTCTTGGTTGTGTTTCTTAAGAAACAGGGAGATCAACACTGCAGAGGAAGAGCCATGGTGCAGCTTATTTTGCTGCTCATGATGTCCAGAATGCTTTTATAGCTTTGAAAATCAAAATCTCAACTTTTAGGTCCTGCTAAGTAATGAAAGGAGCAGCTTTTTTCATATTGTTTTGGATTTTGTCAATGCTATAACAATTGTTTTATATTTTGCACAGCGGGGAGGAATTTTCATCATTTTTAGGCAAGTTGCGCTGGAGAAACTGAAATGTGAGCCTCCAGAAACACATTCAGGATTGCTGCCGTTGAGCTTATCCCAATCTGCTTTTTTAATACTAGCCACTCCCAAGAATTTTTGTATTGGCCAGCCTAACTAATTCTAGCAAAGATTCGGTGTGGCTGCTTATAGAGGTTGATGAGACACATTACTCTTCACATTCCCAGGAGCACGTTACTCCGCACTGTCTGCACACACGAGGAGCTGACTGCACTAAACTCCGTCCGGCTATTTTTTCATTTCCTACGCCAAAACTCGGTGGAGCCTG